CTCACCCCTCTCTCACCCCCCCTTATTTCTTTCTCACCCCTCTCTCACCCTTCTTTCTCCCCCTCCCCCCTACCTCCCTGTAGCGTGGCCGATCCCAGTATAGCCGGCGGGTACAGGGAGCTTTTGTTTCCTGTACCCGGCCGGACTAACAGGAAGTGCACACTGAGTGTGCACTTCCTGTTAGTCCGGCGGGTACAGGAGACAGCTGCTCTCTGTACCCGTCGGACCATGCTGCAGTGAGGGAGCTGACAGGAGCGCTCCCTCCTGTCAGCCCCCTTTCTCAGGCTGCGCCCGGGCGGTGCAGTCCGCCCTCATGGACGCACCGCCCAGGCAAAGCTGCAGCCGCCTGAGGCTCTATACAGAGCGCTTGGGCGGCTGCAGCTGGGGGGGACCGGGGGGGCTGGCCATGGCACCCCCCACCCGGCTGGCACCCGGGGCAGACCGCCCCCCCCGCCCCCCCTTAGTACGCCACTGGGCAAGGGTATACAATGGGGGTATCGTTGTACTCAGCAGATGTAGCTGAACACAATATGGGGTTCTGTGCAGGAACAGCACACACCAGTTTTACGAAATACACATTACAAAAACCTTGTTATATGTGTATATGCCAAAAGAGAGAAAAAACACAATTTTACTCCAATATTTAGCAGAGATTGGCGGTGAAATGGCTACATATAAAGTGTCAAAATAACCTTAGGTAAATAGCCTGTGATGTCTACTTTATATAAATATATACTTTTGTGTGGCAATTTTGTTTCCTGTAATGGGTATTAAACTTACAAGACAAACATACCAACTTCTAAAATCGTTTCACATTGAAATTTTATTTTATTTGTAGTTTGTGACCTATAACTTTCAAAATTAACTGAAATCCTACACATATTATGTACTTTGTAAATCAAGACACATAAATGAATGGATTTTGAATTACTTGTCCCAGGGCCGGATTAAGAGCACACTGGGCCTGGTGCTGACAATAATGATGGGCCTAATTATTATCGACCAAACACACTAAAACAGTCATACCTCCCAAGCGTCATGTATCTGATGGAGATGGTGCTGGAGGGAAACTCATAGGATGCAGCTATAAGAAAACACATACTCTGTGCTAATTTCTCTCTAATTTATGCTTTCATCTCTCAAGTAAATCCATAACCCCTAACAGCAGTGTCCAGTGAAGCAGGAAGTCAATGGGCGGGGTAAAAGGGTGTGCCACTGGTGCGAATCATGTGACAAGTCCTGCCAAAAAGGGGGCATGTTTGTCCAAAGAATTGGAAGGTCAGCCTGGCATGAATGCATGTCAGGGTGGTGGTTTTAACATAATAGGGTCAGAAATACATGATTGTGTTCCTGACCCTATAGTGCTCCTTTAAGCAAGAGTATGTGAAGAGTAGTTAAGGTTGCCACCTTTCTTGGAAAAAAATACCAGCCTTAATCATTTGTATAATTAATTAGTTATGCGTGACATCACATGATGTAAATCACAAGGAGTGACATCAGAGAAAATTCTGTAAACTCACCAACAAACTACTTACAGTTTGATTCTGCTGTATAGATGGATTGCTCCCAGTGTCTCCCTGTCTCCCAGTGTCTCAGTCTCGCAAGTCACCCAGTGTCTCAGTGTCCCTATGTATCACAGTGTCAGTGTCCCCATGTCCCCTAGTCTTCCAGTGTCTGTGTCCCCATTACTCCCAGTGTCCCAATGTCTCAGTGTGTCCCCATGTCACTAGGATACTGGGCACACTGAGAGACATGGGGACACTGAGAGACCCGGGGACACAGAGACATGGGGACACTGAAACATTTGGGGACACTAAGACACTAGGGACACAGGCACTGAGAAACTAGGAGATACTGGGAGACTAGGGGACACTGGCTGGGAGACAGACATTTGGGGACATGTGGGGACAGTTGTGGACATAGACATGGGGAAACTGGGACATATAGGGACACTGGGACACATGGGGACACTAGGCACACTGAGAGACATGGGACACAGACACTGGGAGACTTAGGGACACTAAGACACTAGGGACACTGGCTGGGGGACATGGGAACATAGTGTCTCCATGTCCCAATGTCTCCCAATGTCCCTATGTCTCACAGCATCCCCATGTGTCCCAGTGTCTCAGTGTCCCCATGTTTTCCAGTGCCCCAGGTCTCCCAGTGTCTGTGTCCCCATTTGTCCTAGTGTCTCAGTGTCCCCTAGTGTCTGTGTCCCCATGTGCCCCCTAGTGTCTCAGTGTCCCCATATGTCCCCTAGTGTCTCAGTGTTCCCTAGTGTCCCAGTGTCCCCATGTTTTCCAGTGTCCCCAAGTGTCTCAGTGTTCCCAGGTCTCCCAGTGTCTGTGTCTTAGTGTCTCAGTGTCCCCTAGTTTCTGTGTCCCCATGTGTCCCCTAGTGTCTGTGTCCCCTAGTGTCCCAGTGTCCCCATATGTCCCCTATTGTCTCAGTGTCCCCATGTGTACCTGCTGCCTTTCCCCCCATCCCTCACTTACCTGAGCTGTAGAGCTGCTGTCTGGACTCTGTGCTGTGTAGCTGCTCCCCATGGATCAGTGAGTAGTAGAAAGAGGCAGGGATATTCTGTAACTTCCTATCCCTGCCTCTCTCCACACACAGTGACCGCTACTGGCCGGTTCTGGTATTGCAGGGTAATCTCCATTTATTCTGAGAAAATTACCTGCATTTGTATTGCCGGGATTACTGCAATACCGTCACGGCCAGGCAGCCTCACATACCGGCTGTGCCAGTAAAATAGCAGTCAGGTGGCAAACCTAAGAGTAGTGTGTGTAAAAAAAAAAAAAAAGTTTTTTTTTTTTTTTTTAAATGGGCCTATTCCATGGGCCTGGAGCTGCAGCTCCATCAGCCCCTATGTTAATCCGGCCCTGACTTGTCCTAAGCTGGACATATTATGCACACATTATGATTGCCAAAACTGTGAAAAAAATGCATGTTTTTGTTTTCCCCCCCATTATTTTGCATTTTTTTTGTAATAAATGAGAATTCTTATATGTATATGTCACATCAAATTAAAGCCCTTTTTGTTGTCTAAAAAACGGTATATAATATGTGTTGGTACAATTAATGAGAGAGATGCAAATTGCAGTTGAACACAAACAGCCAAAAAATGCAAAAATTGCTTGTGTCTTTAAGGGTATGTCCAGCTTTTAAAGTTGTGTCCCTAAGGGGTTAAATAAATAGACTAAATTTGAAAATAACGGTCATGTGACTGTATGCTGATTAACATAAAAACATATATAAACTAGAAAAACCTTTAATGCTATGTGTATATTAAAAAAATATTAGCGCTAAAATCCAATTAGAATTAAAAAAATGAAATTATTAGAGACACTATAGTCAGTGGCGTACTAAGGGCGAGGCAGCGGGGGCGATCCGCCCTGGATGTCACCAGTTAGGGGGGTGCCTCCAGGGCTGGCCAGGCTTGTGACTCAGTGAGCTGTGTGGCTGCACAGGGCGCCAGGAGCCACACAGCTCACACACGGGTGGAGGCGGAGCCAAACCGGATGCAGGCTTCATTTGCTGCCTTTCACTGCAGCACACTGAGGGGAAGCAGGAAGGAGTCCCTGCTTCCCCAACTCCAACACACCAGGGACTCACTGACTCCACTCCTCCACCAGTAAGTAAGAGAGAGAGTGTGAGTGTGTGTGTGTGAGACTGCTCGTGACTGTCTGCCTGTGTGTGTGTGAATGTCTGCCTGTGACTATCTGTGACTGTGTGTGGGAATGTCTGCCTGTGACTATCTGTGACTGTGTGTGTGAATGTCTGCCTGGCACCGGGCAGTTCGTGCACTTTCACCGAACAAGAAGGGAGGTTGTGGTTTCAGCGGTGTTCGCGCAAAACTGTGTCCGATTTCAGTTCCATGAATTAAGCGTCGAACACCGCTGTGCACTCGCATGTTTAAAATGGGCGCGACCTCGTGTTCGTGATACGAATGGCGGCCACCCAGCATTCATCAATTACCACAGCTTAAGCGCAGCTTCAGGGAGGTTAATTGCCGGCACACTCCAGCTCCCAGGTAGTCTATTCATTCGTGCGGTTGTTCGGTAGATTGAATCTACCGAACACCCGGCAGAAAAGCACAAATAAGTCTTTTCTGCAGGGAAAAAATATGTCTTTTAACATGGGGCCATAGTCCAAAGGCAGCAGGCGAGCAACCAGGCTTCTCCAGTGTACAGTGGCGAGGTTGGTTTCGCCACACTGAGTATGACTGTCTTCCTGTGACCACTGACTACCAGGGACTGAGGATCCGCTCTAGCCCTCCCAGAGCAAGGTAGGGAGGCTGGGTGGACCTCTTAATTATTAAATGTGTGCATGTATGTGATGTTTGCATGTGTATATCTAATTATGTGTGTTTGTAAAGGTATGTGTGTGGGTCTGTGATTGTGTATGTCTGTGTTTATGTGTGTGGTTATGTGTGTATCTCTGTAGTTAAGTGTGTGTGTGTGTGTGTGTGTGTGTATATATACACACACACAACTACAGAGATAGACACACAACCACACACATAAACACAGACATACACACACACTTAACTACAGAGATACACACACAACCACACACATAAACACAGACATACACAATCACAGACCCACACACATACAATTACAAACACACATAATTAGATATACACACGCAAACATCACATACATACACACGTGTGTGTGTGTGTGTGTGTATGTATACACACACACAATCACAGATTTACACACACAGACATACACCTATTGTGTTATTGTGTGTGTGTATAAATGTGTATGTGTTTGGTACATTGCTCCCTTATTTGGTGTCCTTAAATATTGCAATCCCACATAAGGATAACAAATAAGGGTGTTATCTACTAAACAACTGAAATTAAGAAAAGGTTTGTTTTTTTTAAATTGATCTTTTAGCTGTTTAGTTGATAATTCTCTAAACTGGTGTCCTTATGTGAGATAGCTCCCTTATCCTCCCTTATCCTTATTCAGTGTCCTTAAATATGCAATCCCACATAAGGATAGCAAATAAGGGATGTAACGGATCACCTGGCACCCCGACTGGGTACCTCAGTTGAAGGATGCTCCTAGCGCTTCCTGAGGGCTCCAAGGACTCTGGCAGACACCACAATCACCGAACCGGAGAAACAAATAAATTCTCCCAAGCATTTGAATGCTGTAGACAGTTGAATAGGAACCATACGAATAGGTTTACTCTCCTAGCAGTCAAACTGGAACAGCATACAATGAATCCTTCCCCCAATAATGAGACGACACTTCACTTTGAGGGTTAAAACAGGAACTCCCTGTACTGTCACATACAGTCTCTTTTATTCCCAATCCACAAACATATTACAGCCCACAGGGCGTTACAAAACAACCAATCAATCTGTACAATACACCCAGACACTCCCACACAAAATCCTCCCCTCTGCCTGTGATATGATCACTGAACACAATCTCATTATCCCCGGCAGAGGAATACCGTTTTTACACAATATTTATAACTTCTAAAATATACATGTCACAAACATAAAACATAAATTTTCATAATCAATCCATTCAGGGGAACAACATGTTTAAAAATGGCACGAATCAGACCAGGGGTTCAAAAATTAAGGGAAAGTCCTTTGTGACTAACTGAAGCATGGCTTTCCGGCCCAAACCAGTTTCAGAGTCTTCTATCCTGGAGATAATTGAGAGTAATTCAATTATCTCCCAGGACAGACACAAGACTCCATTATGCACATGGTGAGCACAAAGCATTAAAATATTATAAAATACACAAAGTCACATTTTATACATAAAACACAGACATGTCACATATCCCCAGATAGCTGGATCTGAGCGCACAAAACTACCGAATAGCGCTCAGATCCTATTCACACAGTTCAATTGCCATGGAGCCGAAGTCTTTAACTACACGAATGGGCTCCATGGCATAGCTATCTGGGTTAACACATTCACATAAAGTCTGGTCCATAGTCCAAAGGCAAGAGGCGGGCAAGCAGCCCCCTCCAAGGACACGTGGCGAGGTTGGTTTCGCCACAAGGGAGTTATCTGATAAACAAAGATCGACGTTAAGAGGTGTCAGCTAGCCCACGAACAAGAAATCTGGGTGGCTAATGTGAATTATTTGCAAATTTATTGACTGATGCCAATGTGCACTGCATGCTGGCATCAGGCAGCCAATGGCAGCACATTACCCCATCCCCTAGTGAAAATTTTTAGTGCCCCCCCAGTTTGGATTGTGGTATCTTATGTGCCCACCCCCTATATATTGTTCCTATGTGTCTATGTATCTGCATGTGTGTCAGTGTGTATTTAAGTGTGTGAATCTCGCCAACACTACACACAAATACACTCCTGCATTTCAACGTCAACACTACATACAAACGCCACCATTATATTATAACCACACCACTGCCTTCAAACACCACACTACATAAAAATGCATGCCTGCATTCAAACGCCAACACCACATACAGACACACATCCTACATTCACTCAAACATACTCCATACAAAAACATGCTTACATTTAAAAGCATAAACACTGCTTAGTGCTAAATACATTTAAAAAACAAAAACAAATTGTGGTTGTTTTTTACATTTTAAAATTGGGGGGTGGAGGGGGAGGCGGGGTGCCAAAACCGTTTAAGGTCAGCATCTGAATGCACTTCCGGTTCATCCAGTCGCCATTTTGGAGTACTTCTGTTTCCCACGAGGTTTTCCATCGCTGAGCTCTGTCCAGGAATCCTACTGCAGATTTATGTTGGATCAGCTTCTTACCTTTACTATCGCCGCGGATCATGTCCTAGTGACTGTCAAACAGTAAGTAAACCTAACTGTTATGCCAGGCAACAAGGCCCACGGCATCAATTACGGTTCAGCTCCTCACTTTACTGTCTCGTTCAGCTAATTCTGCTCTGCTAAATCAGTATATCCGTCCGGTTTTTCAGCCGTCTGTTTTTTTCAGCCGTTCGTTTACACAGCATTTTCGGGAATATGTATTTAAACGTTCGGTACTTATGATGTTATTTGCTGTATATTTCTCCCGCTCATTTCTTACTCACATAGCATTTTCGCATAAATTTCTAAGTTCGTGCGGTCCAACGCACGAACACGCTATTCACATGTTTCTACTGATTTATCCCTGTCATTTCCGGTTCGTGCGGTTCACATTGCACGAACAAGATACACTAATATAACTATCACTGCTGACCAGGCAGCCGTTCGACCACAGCATGACAAACCTTGCTATATACATATGTTGTCCAGTTCATGCGGTTAAACGCACAAACGGACAGGTTTTGGGAATAAAATTACATTTATGTCTAAAAATACTTGCAGGGTTAAAAGGGGGGTTATTGTATATAGTTACATTTGGAAAAACTCCACACACGAATGGGTTAAATACATGTTCCAAATTACACATATGAGTATGCAAATGGTTAAAGATTCCAC